CAAACGGATCTTGGAGGAGAGATTTCACCGAGTTAGGGTTGGGTCTTGGAGGAGTAACGTTTGCGTTCGCCATTGTCGTCTAGTAAAAATGGCGCCACTGGAGCCCGGTCCTTATTTTATCAGGGGCGAGCTTGGGGCGATAAAATAATCGCCCTCCTTGGATTCGAATTAAAATCGCTGATTAGCTACATTTTATGTCATACATTCATATCTTAAATTAGCAATTGGCTTAACTGCTACGTAGACCCGCCTCCTCGGGGCACTTTCTGTATCGCCCAGAGCTGACGAGGCGTTTGACAGGCAGAGGAAAGGTTGCGAATATGATTTTCTATCATATCTTACACATATTACTGTCTGCATTCCATATTTCAAACACACAAATATTGACATACTGATGTTTTTATTATTATTATTATTATTTTTATTTTTTAATTTTTAAAAAATAATTGTATTTAAGGGGGCGGCGCCCTAGCGCCCTCTATCGGCCAGCCGCCACTGTTCCCGACCGCTGGTCACCTTTTCAATGCTTATCTTGTAGAATCCAGCAAGCATATGCTACCCCTTGTTTGCTGAGCCTTAGAAACAACGGTCCAGATTATATTTTTATTTTTATTTTATTTCACCTTTATTTAACCAGGTAAAACAGTTGAGAACAAGTTCTCATTTACAACTGCGACCTGGCCAAGATAAAGCAAAGCAGTGCGATAAAAACAACAACACAGAGTTACATATGGGGTAAAACAAAACAAAGTCAAAAATACAACAGAAATAAATATATATACAGTGTGTGCAAATGTAGCAAGTTATGGAGGTAAGGCAATAAATAGGCTATAGTGCAAAATAATATATAAAGCGATCTATGCTATAACAATAATTCACTCCACGATTATTTCCGCATAGTCTACTAGCCTATCGAAGGTCTTGCTCAGCCTCAACATCACAGGAAAATGTGGTTGGTTTATTAAAAACTCCGCAATATATAATATTAGTGGTAGGCTATGCCTACCGTAAAAGAGCAAAACGATAGAATCGGTATGGGTATATGCATAGACCAAACAGTTTATCAGATAACAACGTTCTTATTCAGGACAATCCCATTGAATCCGGCTATTCATTTCAGTGCAGTTGCGTTCTTACGCATATCCTTAGTCTAAACGGAACCGAAAACACCCCCAGCCTGTTTTGATCACAGATCATGATGAAGCCTGAACATTTCAGCCGTTTGTCATTGATTTGGCCCACAATCGCCTACAGATTTGATACACATGAAGACCTATATTTAATCTGGAATTGAAAAACAATAGCCTGACTAGGAGCCTGACTTTTCCCCACGTCATATTTGTTACCAATTAGGCTAATTTCCACTCCATTCATATGCAAATACATTAGATTCATCCACTGGCTTGTCTGGCTGGCATGTTTTCATTTTAAACTGGCCTTCCCTTATCTTTTTTATTTTTTTATTTAACCTTTATTTAACCAGGTAAACCAGTTGAGAACAAGTTCTCATTTACAACTGCGACCTGGCCAAGATAAAGCAAAGCAGTGCGATAAAAACAACAACACAGAGTTACATATGGGGTAAAACAAAACAAAAATCAAAAAATACAACAGAAATACAATTAATATACAGTGTGCAAATTTAGCAAGTTATGGAGGTAAGGCAATAAAATAGGCTATAGTGCAAAATAATTACAATTTAGTATTAACACTGGAATGATGTGCAAGAGATGATGTGCAAATAGAGATACTGGGGTACAGATGAGCAAAATAAATAACAATATAGGGATGAGGTAGTTGGGCGGGCTAATTTCAGATGGGCTGTGTACAGGTGCAGTGATCGGTAAGGTGCTCTGACAACTGATGCTTAAAGTTAGTGAGGGAGATAAGTGTCTCCAGCTTCAGAGATTTTTGCAATTTGTTCCAGTCATTGGCAGCAGAGAACTGGAAGGAATTGCGGCCAAAGGAGGTGTTGGCTTTGGGGATGACCAGTGAGATATACCCGCTGGAGCGCAGACTACGGGTGGGTGTTGCTATGGTGACCAATGAGCTAAGATAAGGCGGGGATTTGCCTAGCAGTGATTTATAGATGGCCTGGAGCCAGTGGGTTTGGCGACGATTATGTAGTGAGGACCAGCCAACAAGAGCGTACAGGTCACAGTGGTGGGTATTATATGGGGCTTTGGAGACAAAACGGATGGCACTGTGATAGACAATATCCAATTTGCTGAGTAGAGTGTTGGAGGCTATTTTGTAAATGACATCGCCGAAGTCAAGGATCGGTAGGATAGTCAGTTTTACGAGGGCATGTTTGGCAGTATGAGTGAAGGAGGCTTTGTTGCGAAATAGGAAACCGATTCTAGATTTAACTTTGGATTGGAGATTCTTAATGTGAGTCTGGAAGGAGAGTTTACAGTCTAGCCAGACACCTAGATATTTGTAGTTGTCCACGTACTCTAGGTCAGACCCGTCTAGAGTAGTGATTCTAGTCGGGTGGGCGGGTGCAAGCAGCGTTCGGTTGAAGAGCATGCATTTAGTTTTACTAGTGTTTAAGAGCAGTTGGAGGCTACTGAAGGAGTGTTGTATGGAATTGAAGCTCGTTTGGAGGTTTGTTAACACAGTGTCCAATGAAGGGCCAGATGTATACAAAATGGTGTCGTCTGCGTAGAGGTGGATCTGAGAGTCACCAGCAGCAAGAGCGACGTCATTGATATACACAGAGAAAAGAGTCGGCCCAAGAATTGAACCCTGTGGCACCCCCATAGAGACTGCCATAGATCCAGACAACAGGCCCTCCGATTTGACACATTGAACTCTATCTGAGAAGTAGTTGGTGAACCAGGCGAGGCAGTCATTTGAGAAACCAAGGCTATTTAGTCTGCCAATAAGAATGCGGTGGTTGACAGAGTCGAAAGCCTTGGCCAGGTCAATGAAAACGGCTGCACAGTACTGTCTATTATCGATCGCGGTTATAATATCATTTAGGACCTTGAGCGTGGCTGAAGTGCACCCATGACCAGCTCGGAAACCGGATTGCATAGCGGAGAAGGTACGGTGGGATTCGAAATGGTTGGTGATCTGTTTGTTGACTTGTCTTTCAAAAACTTTTGAAAGGCAGGGCAGGATGGATATGGGTCTGTAACAGTTTGGATCTAGAGTGTCACCCCCTTTGAAGAGGGGGATGACCGCGGCAGCTTTCCAATCTCTGGGGATCTCAGACGTTACGAAAGAGAGGTTGAACAGGCTAGTAATAGGGGTTGCGACAATTTCGGCGGCTAGTTTTAGAAAGAAAGGGTCCAGATTGTCTAGTCCAGATGATTTGTAGGGGTCCAGATTTTGCAGCTCTTTTAGAACATCAGCTGTCTGGATTTGTGTGAAGGAGAAGCGGGGGGGGCATGGGCAAGTTACAGCGGAGGGTGCAGAGCTGGTGGCCGGGGTAGTGGTAGCCAGGTGGAAAGCATGGCCAGCCGTAGCAAAATGCTTGTTGAAATTCTCGATTATTGTAGATTTATCGGTGGTGATAGTGTTTCCTAGCCTCAGTGCAGTGGGCAGCTGGGAGGAAGTGCTCTTATTTTCCATGGACTTTACAGTGTCCCAAAACTTTTTGGAGTTAGTGCTACAGGATGCAAATTTCTGTTTGAAAAAGTTAGCCTTTGCTTTCCTAACTGCTTGTGTATATTGGTTCCTAACTTCCCTGAAAAGTTGCATATCGCGGGGGCTATTTGATGCTAATGCAGTACGCCACAGGATGTTTTTGTGCTGGTCAAGGGCAGTCAAGTCTGAGGAGAACCAGGGGCTATATCTGTTCTTAGTTCTGTATTTTTTTGAATGGGGCATGTAATAGAGGACTATATTATTTCAGTAGTCCTCTATTATTATTATTTTTTTAAATTCATAGCTCATTAGTGCACCCTTGTGATTGAATATATACAGTGGGGAGAACAAGTATTTGATACACTGCCGATGTTGCAGGTTTTCCTACTTACAAAGCATGTAGGGGTCTGTAATTTTTATCATATGTACACTTCAACTGTGAGAGATGGAATCTAAAACAAAAATCCAGAAAATCACATTGTATGATTTTTAAGTAATTAATTTGCATTTTATTGCATGACATAAGTATTTGATACATCAGAAAAGCAGAACTTAATATTTGGTACAGAAACCTTTGTTAGCAATTACAGAGATCATACGTTTCCTGTATTACAGTACAATGTAGATATTAATAAAACAAGGTATACCATTAATTTCTTTAAAAAATTAGATACAAAATAATGTATGAATATTTAAAGTATTTGCACACAAACTGTTAGTGGTAAATAAAACTACATATTCCTATCCTATGTTATAATACACATGTTCCTGTGTTTTTAAGGATCTTAATGACAGTACAGACGTATCAACTGTTAGTGGTAAATAAAACTACATATTCCTATCCTACAGTTATAATACACATGTTCCTGTGTTTTTAAGGATCTTAATGACAGTACAGACGTATCAACTGTTAGTGGTAAATAAAACTACATATTCCTATCCTACAGTTATAATACACATGTAAGTATATAACTGTCACGGATTCAGCCGAGGCTGCTCCTCCTCCTTGCTCGGGCAGGCTTCGGCGTTCGTCGTCCCCGGAGTACTAGCTGCTGCCAATCGATGTTTCGGTGTTTGTCTAGTTTAGTCTTTATTGTTTACACCTGTTCCCCATTATGTACACATTCAGGTCCACAGTGTTATAGTGTATTTTGTGTGTTATTGTTTGTTGTTTTCTGTGTTGTTTTCAGTAAAGTATGTTTCTTAGAGTTCTGTGTCCTGCCTGACTTCTATCCACCGCACGTGTTCCTGACACTCGTGACATTCCTGTCCCTATTTATTTTTCTGGACTCAGATCAATCAGTGTGATTTTGAAGCATACTGTCATTATCCAACATTATCTTCACCAGATCTCAAACCAGCCTTCTACATTGACCACATTATACTGTCATTATACAACATTATCTTCACCAGATCTCAAACCTCTTGTCTGTCAGGAAGGGTCTTCTGTCCTGGATTCTGTTGTTGAAGAGTCTGTAGAGAAGAACATTACTATTATTAATCATTATTAGAACATTAAACAACAGATCTCCATCCTCCAACAGTTGCTCCCAGCAACAGACACACCCATATGATCTCTCACACACGCTCTGCTCACCGTCACACACACCCTTACCGTACGGTGTGTATTGAAGTGTTGGTGGAGACCAGTTGGAGTATTTTGTCAGTCAGAGCATCAGTGATGTCATTGTGACTCAGGTACTAGGAGAGCTAGATAGAGATAGAGATCGAGAAGAGAGAGAGAGAGAGAGAGAGATAGATAGCGAGAGAGAGAGAGATATAGGAGAGAGAGAAGAGGAGAGAGAGAGATATAGATGAATCGTATCATATATACGCGAAATATCGTGTAGCTCAGCTATCTCTCTCTCTATCTCGCGATTGCTCCTACTAGTATCTCTCGATCTAGATGCTCTCAGCTCTCTCTATCTCTTTCTCTCGAGAGCGCTGCTATTCTCTCCGAGCTTCGCTTATCCCTCGCGCTCTCTCGCTCACGCTCTTCTCTCTCTCTCTCTCTCCTCTCTCCTAGCTCTCTCATAGACAGAGAGATAGAGAGACCTCGAGAGATACAGACACCCGCGTGATCCGACATTTTTCATTATTCACAACACACACACCACCCCCACCACACACACCCACACACCCACACACACAACACGTTGAAATCCACTCCTCCACCAGGACTTTACTTTGTCAGGTGGTGTAGTCAGGCCTGTAGGGGTGGTCGCGAGTTGACAAGGGGCTGAGTAGGTCCATTCTGACAGGCCCCCTCTGAGTTTCCAGAACCAGGCCAAGATCCACAGGCCTTCTGGTCAGCCTGGTCTCACTGAGTTCCAGCTCTCCTCCAGGGCTCTGCACAGTGGACCTGCGTGCCTCAGCACCCCCTCTTCAATCCCCTCCCACAAGGTCGCAGCCTGACGTAGCAGCGCTTTGCTGGTGCTGACAGGACAAGAGGCAGAAAGATCACATTATGACCCAGGAGGTCTAGCTCCTACTGATGAACTAGTTTTTGTTAAATGTTTGTCTTTGGTGTGTCTAAACCTCAGCTTGACAACTCAGGATGGGAAGCAAACTGCCTCATGCTCTGTCCTCCACCCGACCTCACAGGTCTCTTAGGATGTCTGCACCTGGTTCTGGACCAGCTGGTGCTGCTCGTTTGTTGGTTCTGCTTCAGAAACAGGTGGATGGCCCTGCATGGTCAGTGGTCAGACACAGAGCCTCCTCCTGGTCCTGAGCTGACAGGTCCACAGAGGAGGAGCAGGAGAAGTCCAGCCTGTAGTGCAGAGACCTGAGCATCCATACTGCTGTTGTGGTGGTGGTGGTGGTGGTGGTGCCCCGCATGGCTGGATCTGCAGAGGCATGCCAGCACAGCACTGGAGGGACACTCAGCAGAAACCCTCCTGTCAACCTACACATAGAATTAGATAGCGACGAGATAGCGGAATGACTAGCTCGACTCGAGTAGATATGTCGCGAGATAGATAGCGAGAGAGAGATCGAGATATACTAGAAGATCTCACCCCCGCTCGCTCTCTCTCCGCTCCTCGCATCCCACTCGAGCTCGCTCTCTCTCGCTCTCCACCCTCGATAATAGATCTCGCCCGCTCCTACTCTATCTCCCTCTCTCTCTCTAGCTCCTCGCTCTCTCTCTCTCTCCTCTCTCTCCTCGCTCTCATCTCTCTCTCGTCTCTCTCTCTCTCTCTCTTCCTCTCTAGCTCTATCCTCTCTCTCTTCTCTCTTCTCTCGTCTCTCTCTCTCTCTCTCCCCCTCTCTTCTCGCCTCTAGCTCTCCCCCTCTCTCTCTCTCTCTTCCCTCTCTCTCCTCTCTCTCCCTCTCTCCGCCTCCTCTCTCTCGCTCCCTCTCTCTCCTCTCCGCTCTCTCTCTCTCTCTCCTCTCTCTACTCTCTCTCTCTCCTCTCTCTCTTTACTCCTCTCTCTCTCCTCTGCTCTTCTCTCTCTCTCTCTCTCTCTCTCCTCTCCCCCGCTCTCCCCCTCTCTCTCTCTCTCCTCTCTCTCTCTCTCTCGTCTCTCTCCCCTCTCTCACTCTCTCTCTCCTTCTCTCTCCCTCTCCCCCGCTCTGCTCCTCTCGCTCTCTCTCTCTCTCTCTCCTCTCTCTCTCTTCTCTCTCTCTCCCTCTCTCCTCTCTCTCTCTCTCTCTCTCTCTCTCTCTCTCTCTCTCTCTCTCTCTCCCTCGTCCCTCTCCCGCTCCTCTCGTCTCTTCGCTCTCTCTCTAGCTCTCGTCTCCTCTCTCTCTCTCTCCTCTTCTCTCCCGCTACATCTTCACGCTACACCTCTCCCTCGACATACCGCGAGAGCTCTCTATCATCTCTTCCTCTCTCATTCTCTCTTATCTCTCTCTCGCTCTCTCTCTCTCTCTCTATCTCCCTCTACCTCTCCCTCTCTCTCCCTCTTCCCTCTCCCTCTCCATATACAGAGAGATATACAATAGACAGATGACAGATACAGATACATGATACAAGAACAGGAGTATATACCAGAGACAGAGTAACAGATATACATATACAGCTCCACGATACAGAGACAGAGACAACAGAGACAGAGACGATACAGAGAAAAGAGATAGACAGAGCGACAGAGACAGAAGACAAGATACAAGATAACAAAGAGAACAGAGTACAAGATAGCGAGAAGAGAGAGAGAGAGAGAGAGAGAGAGAGGAGAGAGAGAGAGGAGAGAGAGAGACATAGACAGAGACATAGCAGAGACAGAGACATGATACCGAGACAGATAGAGAGAGAAGAGAGAGAGACAAGATAACCGAGACAGCTAACAATAGTAAAACAACAGAACATACAAGAAGATAGACAAAAAGAGAATAAAACACAGCTACAAGAACAGCACGATATTATATAGGAGGGAGACAGAGCCAGAGACAGACAAGAGGACTATTTAAAACACCATCACACTTGAAAACAACTGATAAAACACACTACAAACTACCTCCTGTTTTATCATGTCACGCCCCCGGCGTTCCCTGTCAATTCCACCCCAGTGAATGTTCAGGTGTAGTGGTCATTCGAACAGGGTTAAGGTTAAAAGGTTAATCAGTCAAAAATGGAAAGCCTCATATCCATTCTAGCAGGGTCAAAGAGTGCCAACTAAACCTGAGTTTGGTAGACTCTGTCCAGAAGATGCAGGTGCCTCTATCTACCCCGTGTACTGAGGTCCACAGCAGTTGACTTTGACTTGGTGGCAGTCCTGCAGGGTAAAACACAGAGCAGTACAGTCCACTCTGTCCAGCTCTCTGCTGTTCAGGTTGATCCAATGGTCTGAAGACCTCAACAAACTGGACACACAGTCACTGGCTCTGCTGTCATAGATCTGTCTGATGGTGGACTTTACAAAGCTGGAACTGGACCTGAACAAACATGGAGAATGGATTGTTGTGGTTATGTCAAGGTTTCATAAAGGATAACTCACATAGCAACAACTGGCTGGACAGGACATTAATAATTAAAGTCTATAAATATTGAATAAAGATCTCTCACCTCTTGAATAAAACCCTAATGATATTACAGAGGATCACTCAGAACAACATGTCACTGGATATAAATAGTTATGTTCTTCTTTCTAGAAAGTCTGAATAGAGAAAGAAGTTCTCCCACCTCTTGAATATAACCCTTCCCAGAAAGGGGAGAAGATCTGAGATGTTCTTCTCTAGGAGCCTGTTCTTCCTGAGGTCCACAGTGATGTTGTGGGTTGAATGCTGCAGCAGAGAGAGAAGCACTTCCAGGTCCAGCCTGCAGGAGGTCAGGTCTCCACCAACCTTCTCCAGGAACCACTGAGTCAAGTCCTTGTCCTGAGCTTCATACACAACTACAGTCAGCTGCTGCAGAGTGTCTGAGTTCAGTCTAGGAGGTTGGAACATAAAGGCAGTCAGAAATATGAAGAAAAACACATGAATGAAGTTCCTATTTCTACTTCTAAAAAACATCAGCTTCATTCCCCTTACACTTTTTATTGTGTTACAAACTGGAATTTAAATGGATTAAACGTGACATTTCTTTGTCAAGAATATACACAAAATACTCTGTCAAAATGGAAGAAAAATTCTAAACCCTAATATACATCGATTACATAAGTATTCACCCCCCTGACTAAATACAGAAACACCTAACATGTATTGACTGTTAATGTAGAAATTCCATGATTTAGGATAATCCAGAATGAATCGTGAATCATGATGAGTGAGAAAGTTAGAGGCACAAAGATCATACCCCCAAGACATGCTAACCTCTCACCATTACACTAACAGGTAGGGGTTAGCATTTTATATCATACCCCAAGACATGCTAACCTCTCACCATTACACTAACAGGTAGGGGTTAGCATTTTATATCATACCCCCAAGACATGCTAACCTATCACCATTACAATAACAGGTAGGGGTTAGCATTGTCTTTGGAGGGTATAATATTTATGCCTCTGTAACCTTCCCACTCATCATTATTCACGATTAATTCAGGATTATCCGAGATCATGGAAGCATCCACACAATAAAACACAATACATTATTTAACATTCATTTCTATTGGACACTAAATAATCTGAAACACAACCAAAACAAACAGCAAATGCATCCAACACATTTGTAGAATCACAAGCTTGATGTAGTCATTGAGTTCTAGGAATATAGGACCAAATACTACACTATGGAATACTTTAATACACATAAGTGAATATGCCCAAATACTTTTGGTTCCCTAAAATGGGGGGACTTTTACAAAAAGTGCTGTAATTTCGAAACAGTTCACCCGATATGGATGAAGATACCCTCCAATTAAAGCTGACAGTCTGCACTTTAACCTCATTGTAGTTGAATCATTTAAAATCCAAAGTGCTGGAGTACAGAGCCAAAATAAATGTGCCAAAATAAAATGTGTCAATGTCCCAATACTTTGACCTCACTGTACATGAATACATGCCTGTCATATGGACACGTAATACCATGTCACAAAGAAAGTTCCATAATATGCAGGACATTTGGTTTGTAGATTAGGTATTCTGAGTATCAACTTTCAGGTTACAAAACATCTCAAACATTAAATTCACAAGATTTCTAAAAGACAAATGTCTAGCATCACAAAATGTAGAAAAATTCACAATATCTGTGTGACATTTAGTAATGCAACATTTGTTATGTCAAGAAATCTGAGTATAAATGTTACCAGATTCACCAACACTTGAAGATTTATATTACAATGTTTCTACAAGACAATAATCACTAGCATCACATAATCACTAACCACCACACATGTTCAGACTCACCTCAGCTGTGAGATGTAGGGCAGACACTGAAGGAAACTCCTCACTTCACTCTCTTCATCTGACCAGCCCTTCAGCTCTACTGGTTTCTTCTCTGGTTGGAGTTTCAGCACTTCTAGGAGGAGGGAGGCCTTTCTCTCTGAGAGGTCTATGGACCAGACTGCAGGAGCTGACTGGTAAACTGGCTGTAATGCTGGAAGGACACTCCTGCCTGTTTGAGTCTCATAGTCCTTCACATGTGAGTACAGATCCAGCAGGAAATCACTCTGTTTAGAATTGTCTCCATAGGGAAAAGGAAAGGTGCTGTAAGTCCACATTGATGATACCAGCTTCAGTGTCTTCTCTCCTGTCTGCTCCTCCTCGCTGC